CCCAATCCCGGGAATTCCGGGAAAGCGCCGGGGCCGAAAGGTCGAGGCCGGACGGGCGGGAAAGGATCCAGGAGGGAGGGGAAATTCCGGGAATTCCGGGAATTCCGGGCTTTGGGGGAATTCAGGAATTCCGGGATTTGGGGAATTCAAGGATTTGGGGAATTCCGGGATTTGGGGAAATTCCGGGATTTGGGGGATTCCGGGATTTGGGGAATTCCGGGATTTGGGGGATTCCGGGATTTGGAGAATTTCAGGATTTTGGGGATTCCAGGATTTGGAGAATTCCGGGATTTGGGGAATTCCTGGATTTGGGGGATTTCGGGATTTGGGGAATTTCGGGATTTGGGGGATTCCGGGATTTGGAGAATTTCAGGATTTTGGGGATTCCAGGATTTGGGAATTCCGGGATTTGGGGGAATTTCAGGATTTGGGGGATTTCAGGATATTGGGAATTTCGGGATTTGGGGGATTCCGGGATTTTGGGAATTGGGGAATTTTCTGGATTTGGGGGATTTCTGGTTTTGGGGGAATTCAGGGATTCCGGGATTTCGGGGATTCCGGGATTTCGGGGATTCCGGGATTTCGGGGATTCCGGGATTTGGGGGAATTCCAGGATTTTAGGGAGGGGAATTTCAGGATTTTGGGAGAGGGATTTCGGGATTTGGGGGATTTTGGGATTTGGGGGAATTCCGTGATTTGGAGGATTCCGGGATTTGGGGAATTTCGGGATTTGGGGGAATTTGAGGATTTGGGGGATTTCGGGATTTAGGGAATTTGAGGATTTGGGGGATTTCAGGATTTGGGGAATTTCAGGATTTTGGGGATTGTCGGGATTTGGGGGAATTCAGGAATTCCGGGATTTGGGGGATTCAGGGATTTGGGGGATTGTTGGAATTTAGGAAATTCCAAGATTTGGAGAAATCCTGGATTTGGGGAACTCCGGGATTTGGAGAATTTCGGGATTTGGGGGATTCCGGGATTTGGGGAATTTCAGGATTTGGGGACTTTCAGGATTTTGGGGATTCCAGGATTTGGAGAACTCCGGGATTTGGGAGATTTCTGCATTTGGAGAATTTGAGGATTTGGGGGAATTTCGGGATTTGAAGAATTTCAGGATTTGGGGGATTGTTGGAATTTAGGAAATTCCAAGATTTGGAGAAATCCTGGATTTGGAGAATTTCGGGATTTGGGGGATTCCTGGATTTGGGGGATTTCAGGATTTGGGGAATTCCAGGATTTTGGGGATTGTCGGGATTTGGGGAATTCCAGGATTTGGGGGATTTCGGGATTTGGGAAATTTCAGGAATTTCAGGATTTGGGGAATTGCTGGATTTGGGGGATTTCGGGATTTGGGGGAATTCAGGATTTTAGGAAGGAGAATTTCAGGATTTGGAGAAGGGAAATCCAGAATTCCAGGATTCTGGGAATCCCAGTTTGATCCCAGTTCCATCCCAGTTTGATCCCAGTTCCATCCCAGTTTGATCCCAGTTTGATCCCAGTACACACACACATTTATTGGGATTTTGGGGTGAATTTTTGGGATTTTGGGGTGGATTTTGGGGATTTTGGGGTGAATTTTGGGGATTTTGGGGTGAAATTTGGGGATTTTGGGGTCAGGGGGGTCCCTCGCACACCCAGGGCAGTGGGAATCCCGCAGGGATAATCCCAGTTTGATCCCAGTTTGATCCCAGTACACACACACATTTATTGGGATTTTTTCCCCAATTCCCGGGATTNGGGGATTTCTGGTTTTGGGGGAATTCAGGGATTCCGGGATTTCGGGGATTTCGGGATTTGGGGGAATTCCAGGATTTTAGGGAGGGGAATTTCAGGATTTTGGGAGAGGGATTTCGGGATTTGGGGGATTTTGGGATTTGGGGGAATTCCGTGATTTGGAGGATTCCGGGATTTGGGGGATTTCGGGATTTGGGGGATTTCGTGATTTAGGGAATTTTAGGATTTGGGGAATTTCAGGATTTGGGAGATTGTTGGAATTTAGGGAATTCCAGGATTTGGAGAAATCCTGGATTTGGGGAACTCCAGGATTTGGGGAATTCCAGGATTTGGAGAAATCCTGGATTTGGGGAACTCCAGGATTTGGGGGATTCCGGGATTTGGGGGAATTCAGGATTTTAGGAAGGAGAATTTCAGGATTTGGAGAAGGGAAATCCAGAATTCCAGGATTCTGGGAATTCCAGGATAATTCCAGTTCGATCCCAGTTTGATCCCAGTACACACACACATTTATTGGGATTTTTTCCACAATTCCCGGGATTTTGGGGTGAATTTTTGGGATTATGGGGTGAAATTTCGGGATTTTGGGGTCAGGGGGGTCCCTCGCACACCCAGGGCAGTGGGAATCCCACAGGGATAATCCCAGTTTGATCCCAGTTTGATCCCAGTTCGATCCCAGTACACACACACATTTATTGGGATTTTGGGGTGGATTTTTGGGATTTTGGGGTGGATTTTGGGGATTTTGAGGTGAATTTTGGGGGATTTTGGGGTGAAATTTCGGTATTTTGGGGTCAGGGGGGTCCCTCGCACACCCAGGGCAGGGCGGTCCCGCAGGGATAATCCCAGTTTGATCCCAGTTCGATCCCAGTTTGATCCCAGTTCCATCCCAGTTCGATCCCAGTACACACACACATTTATTGGGATTTTTTCCCCAATTCCCGGGATTTTGGGGTGAAATTTGGGGGTTTTGGGGTCAGGGGGGTCCCTCGCACACCCAGGGCAGGGCGGTCCCGCAGGGATAATCCCAGTTTGATCCCAGTTTGATCCCAGTTCCATCCCAGTACACACACACATTTATTGGGATTTTGGGGTGAATTTTTGGGATTTTGGGGTGGATTTTTGGGATTTTGAGGTGAATTTTGGGGGATTTTGGGG